GCTATGTACATGTATGCATGTAAATCATGCATGCATGTAAATCCTGCATGCATACCGACTCATCAAAAAAGTGCACATCTTAGGATGGGGGGGGGGGGGGGCAGAATTATGATAAGGTATATGTTGATATTGTTACTCACACTTAGTCATATTATGGTAGTGTTTTATTTCATTATATGGAAATAATTTGTTTCATTCAAAAGTTTGATCCATGCAAAGCAAAGTATTGTTATTCTTTTTCCTTCTGTTTAAATTTGTTCAAGCAGCTGCTACGTTGTATTTATTTTCAATCTGAAATGTGTGTCTAGGTTTATGGATGTACAAGCTTTCAAATGTGCAAACATTCCAGCGACATCTGCTTTATTCTGTAAGTGCGTGAATATAATTGCTGCTACGTAGAACACTACTACCAATAGAGGTTTTTTAACATTGTTGATTTACGTATATGGCAAGCCAAATGCCCAATAAATTCAGTTTATCAACAGGAAAAATTGAGTCGCACGCAAAAAACTATGTTTGGCGCCGATAAAAATAGTTTGTCGCGATAAACTCAGTTTGTCGCTTTATTGGTCATTTGGCTCGCCATATACGTATGGAACAAATGATCTGCTTGGTGCAAGGAGGGCATTGACTTGTACTCTGTGAAGAATAGTTGATCCCTTTCTGGCTCAAAAACATGCTTAACTGACAAATTGTGCTCTTTTAGAGATACGGGCATAAATGTTGATTGATATCTATTTTTGAAGTAGTCGTAATGATCAAGTATCACCTTTTAACCCTTACTGTACTGGGCTATTTCGAGCACTCTCTGACTGGGGGGGGGGGGGGGCCTGGGATCTCGGCCGTCGAATGTCTGATGAACGCGAAAATTTACATGTTTGTAGATATTTACATAAGGAACAAGATGGTATAATTAGTTTTTTCCTAATATGCAAATTTTTGTCGTTATAGCCTAATTAATTATGCAAAATACTAATTTTATGCATTTTACAGAATACTCTACATATTTGTCCGTAGACTTGTGAAGAATCTTGAAAATGTATTGAATAAATATTTCCTTCATCTCAAATTCATTAGGTATCATTATTTTTATGATATTTGAAAATGCATAGGTTAATTTGCATAAATTATGAATATGCATTCATGAATTTCAAATCTGGAAATATATAAAGGGAACTAGAATCATTTAAAAAATTGTCAGACTCCACTTTTTGTAATGTTGAAACTCATTATTCATATAATACTTCTTTTCTAACACAAAATAGTTATTTGATGTAATTAATAACGATAATTTATGCAAATTTGATGCGATTTTCAACTATTTATTTTCTTATGTATTTTATTGTTTTTTATTTCTTATTATATCTATTGTTTTATTTCTAATGTATTCTTTTGTTCTGAAATACATCAAGTTACTTTGAGAAACATATATTTCTGCTTGTACATGAATATATGCAATTATAGCACTTTTTTGATAACATGCACATACTAATTGTTATGTAACATCTTAGCCTCCCAGGCCCCCCCCCCCCAGTACAGTAAGGGTTAAGTAAAATGACCTATATATGATACATGCTATTTCGATTTGACTTCCAAATGCACCATTCATTTGTGCTTCATGCTTCATATTTGTACATTTTAGAAACTAATTATTATTGACATCTTTTGCCTTTGAATGCAAACCTTTTATCAAAGTAGCTTTTAGTTTGTAATCTAAACAAATTTGTTGATGAACATGTAAAAGGCAAATAGAAATACAGGTATAATACTAATTTCAGATTTTGGGTATGTTATGGAGAACGAAGAAATATATATATAATGTAAAAACAATCAGATGATATTTATTTTTCAAGTGTTTTGTGTTTCGAGGAGCTTGGTGATGAATTGAATAATTCATCGGCTATTTAAGGATTAACGAATAAAGCGCGTGAGACGGATGAAATGGGAAAGAGATTACGGTTAAAAAAAACAGAGAAAGTAAGAGAGATAAATGAAAAATAATGTAAGAGAAGAGAAATGAAGAACAATGTAAGAGGAGAGAAATGAAGAACAATGTAAGAGAAGAGAAATGAAGAACAATGTAAGAGAAGAGAAATGAAGAACAATGTAAGAGAAGAGAAATGAAGAACAATGTAAGAAAAGAGAAATGAAGAACAATGTAAGAGAAGAGAAATGAAGAACAATGTAAGGAAGAGAAATGAAGAACAATGTAAGGAAGAGAAATGAAGAACAATGTAAGAGAAGAGAAATGAAGAACAATGTAAGAGAAGAGAAATGAAGAACAATGTAAGGAAGAGAAATGAAGAACAATGTAAGAGAAGAGAAATGAAGAACAATGTAAGAGAAGAGAAATGAAGAACAATGTAAGGAAGAGAAATGAAGAACAATGTAAGAGAAGAGAAATGAAGAACAATGTAAGAGAAGAGAAATGAAGAACAATGTAAGGAAGAGAAATGAAGAACAATGTAAGAGAAGAGAAATGAAGAACAATGTAAGAGAAGAGAAATGAAGAACAATGTAAGAGAAGAGAAATGAAAGACAATGTAAGAGAAGAGAAATGAAGAACAATGTAAGAGAAGAGAAATGAAGAACAATGTAAGAGAAGAGAAATGAAGAACAATGTAAGAGAAGAGAAATGAAGAACAATGTAAGAGAAGAGAAATGAAGAACAATGTAAGAGAAGAGAAATGAAGAACAATGTAAGAGAAGAGAAATGAAGAACAATGTAAGAGAAGAGAAATAAAGACAATGTAAGAGAAGAGAAATGAAAGACAATGTAAGAGAAGGGAAATGAAAGACAATGTAAGAGAAGAGAAATGAAGAACAATGTAAGAGAAGAGAAATAAAGACAATGTAAGAAAAGAAGAAAGGTCAATGCAGAAAGATCATTGAGAGGAAAAATAGCACAACAAGAGGAAGTAGAATAATCCAGAAGAAACAAACAAAAGCAAAAGAGACACTCGGTAACAATTTAAGTGGTGATTCTTTTATTCTTTTATACATTTAATACAGTTGCTCTTTTTGTACACACAGAAAGTGATAATCCACTTGACAGCTTTACAATTCTCTCATATTTTCTAAAGAGTAGAAACCTTAACTCCCTCTACCACTCAACAGGGAAAGTGTTGAGGATCTGATGTTAGCTGGAGATTGTTATGACAGTCACTTGAACCAAATTGGGTAACCCTCCTACGCTTAGGACTCTTCCAGAATGTCCCGATGCAAATACAAATCGATACTCGGCATAACATTCCTTTCTTGGAGGTATAATTTACGAAACCACTTCTCGAGCCTTCGGAGTACTTGAAGAAACCCTGACCGAGTTTTGAATACATAACGGCAGTTTTTGAGGATTGGTCTTCAAATATCTGAATAGATTTAAAGAGGAAAAGGGGGAGGGGGGACAAAGAAAATGCAATACAACTAAAGTGCTGTTCATATAGAGTACAAGTAGGTCTGCGGGGCATTTTTGTGATCGCTCAACTCAAGTGAAACTCTAAAAAATGATTGGTCATCTATACATTTCAAGGCCAATAACTGACTATCAAGAAAACACATTTTCACGCATGTCAAAGACCTGAACAGCCATGTATTGACTCTGACGTCACGCCCGCCATGAATCAATTGAATGATCATAAATCAACGTCATAATTATGTATGCATGGGGATGAAAACAAGGACGGGGAAGTATAGAGCTTCTTGACGTACATGTAATTGTTGATAACATTTTGTTATCAACTCCTGATGCCACTATAGAACCCTGTTGAACAGTCCGCCCATCGTCCGTACTTACCCCTGTATATATTTTGTACATACATATCAGACAAAAAAATCGAGCGGATGAACTATGCGTGCTGTAAAAATAATCTGAAAACGAAATAAATATCAATTAACAAAAGGGCGAATAGTATACCTGATAATTATCATCCAAATGTCATTGATCTAGACGCAAGTACCTATTAACATACTACAGTTACTATCTTTTTTCTTTGTATTCATATCGCAACTGACATTGGTATCTCAATAGTATTTAACAACAACATTTCAAAAGTCAATTACAATAGTAAGTGAGCTACTCGTTACGTTAAAATAGGGAACACTATACTGTCGGTTGGTGAGGGTCAAAAGGATATCAAATCGTACATAATTATTACCCTTTGTGTTTCCAAAAGATGATACTATACTTTTAATATAAAAAGGTATTTTAAAAGAAATGCATATCTGAATGTAACTTATATGGAAGTACAAGCATAATGTACTTCATGATAATTTTATAAACAGCTCATGAGCTCAACCAGTTCAGCAATTTTCCATAAGTAATAGCTTTATATAGAAGCAGAATATGAAAATTGTTGACGTGTCACAATAAGACGTTACTAAGAAACAAACAAAAAAATTATTTACCAACAAAAAATTATCGAATTTGGATAGAAACAAAATCAAAGTATATTTCAATCATGGTAAAGATATAATAGAGAATGATAGTCGCGGAGTAAAGGCTTTAAAAGAGGAAAAGTTTGTAAACAAGATTTTATAAAAGGTTTGAAGAAAGATATTGACATGAAAAATATAGAGAGGGAGAGAACGTAGAAAATAGTTGGTGGGACTGAAAATCTAAAGGGATTATCAGGTAAATAGGAAAAAAAAATTTCTTAAGATTACAACATACATGTACTTCTAATAATTCGGTTTTATATATATATACAGGAATTAACTAAACTAAACTAATCTAATCAATGTACGTAAATATATTTAACATTGTTATACACTACAATTGCACCTTCCCATTATTATATGTTTATATAAAATCTTTCGAGTGTTATCTAAATAAAGATCTCAAGTTTACATTTATGTAGAAAAAAAGAAATCTGGACCCGTAAAAATATGCTTTCAATATCAACAATAATGTGCATTCCACTTCAAACACAAAACAATGATGTTCATAGGTGCGTAAATCTGCCAATACCTCGTTCAGGGAAGGGGTGGTGGTGGTGGTGTAGGTGGGGGGGGGGGGGGCTATATTTCAAAATACTTCTACATAATGCTTATACAACACAATGCATCACATCGACATGTTCATGGCAAAATGTTATGGGGGACCGGGTGATATATAAATAAAAGTGCTATAGAAGGCTGAATAAAATGCAAATGAATATATTAAATTATGTTTCTTTACCATGATTTATACCAGACAATGTTTCCTGATAATTAATAACTTGATCAGCGCTCAATTGATGTTAACTCTGCAAAGCGATGATCATCAACCGTTTACTGATTTCTGCTCAAAGATCAAAGTATTAACTTAGTTTCCCTCATACAGAATACGGATCAAGTTTACAAATGGAAAAACAAAATCTCTCCTTCTCATTTGCTGAACGTAACGTGAAAGGTTACATTCATTTCATAATAATTATAGACAAGGCTAAATTATCTAAAAGTTTTGATTATCTACGAGAAGGACAGTGTGAAAATGTTTTTCCTTCTGGTTAAAAAACGAAACATTCATTAATCATCAACAATACTGAATGAATATGAAACTAAAAATTGTACTGTTTCTATATTTTAAAAATGTAATATACTTACAAATCTGACTTTATATTTCATTTTCTCTTTCAAAAGTCGATTGAACTCGCCTTGATAGTCTCCATCTTCAAGTCCAGAAGATAGTTACAATTTAATCATTCTAAGCTCGATGTGTGATCCATAAAGACCACGATAGCACATTATTGAAATCGCCTATTTGAAGAAACGATGTTACATACACACACATTGATTCATGTTTTGAGGCGCGTATCACGTGTTACAATGTTTAAGAATCATACATCAGTATTACATTAAGAAGTGATACATCTTCCTGATCTAGGGCCGGCCTAAAATATCAATTACAAGTGATTATACTTGGTTTTTAACAAGAAAATTTTAACTAAAACAACATACAGGCAAAAAGATGACATATTTCACTCAAGAATGAATGGCTTTTCGACAGGTGCAATGCTTAACATTTAAGATAAGCCAAAGAAATTACAATGCCTTTCTGGACCCAAACAAGACGTATTTGGAAAAAGTTTAACCAAAGATGTGCGTTATTACGAAACAGATTGTCTTGCATTACTTATACCCATTGAACACGAGGTATCATTCCTCTGACGCATACAAGCCTGCGTCAGAGACTGGTGCGGTCTCTGACGCACGAAGTGAGAGTGACAGCGTACCAAAATGATACAATACACAGTGCAAAACACTCCGTTAAATTTTAGGCGTATACGCCAATCGCCTTCACATGATTGGCGCAGGTGATAGCGCAATTTAAATAACGCCTCGTGTGCAGAGGGTATCATAGAGGTAAAGAACTACCGAGGAGGAAGCGTTAGCGACATACTTTATACGAGATGTGTTTGTTATATTCAATATAAATATATATGTATATATGTATATAATATATACAGCATATATAGTTATTGAAATGTTTTCGTATAATTCTCTGCAAAAAAGATATTTTAGTCTAGCTTACTCTTTTGCACTTGAGAAGCTGAAGGCAATTGAAAAGTCTGTGCTCTATTGTTTAGTCTATCTGCCTGATAGTCATTTGCCACTAAACTTTATGTTCTCGTATTTGGGGAACTGGTTTGTAAATGTTTCTGTTCGGTACAGTTCCATTTCTTCCCTTAAAAGAAGCATTACTGTCCACGATTGTCTTCATAGTTTCAAAGTGGGAGTTACTTGAGGATGTATCAGCCCGAGGAGCGTCAAACTCAGTATGACGCCTATTGAGTCTCCTGATGCCACTGTAGAACCCTGTTGAGCAGTCCGCCCATCGTCCGTACTTACCCCTGTTGAACAAGAGGAAGATGTATGGATTGGCGGAGGAGTTAGACGCAGCGAAGATACCAAGAAGACCGTAGACAAAGCGATGAATGTTATACACTTTGTAGCATTTCATGATCTCTACGATAAAATAGGGAAGTCCACAGATAACGAAAGCGAGAATGATGACAAATGACATCTTAAGGGTCTTACTCTTGGCGCGGTTTAGCGAGGTTGACCCGGTGCTCTGAATGCGCATCTTGCCGCCACGCTGGACGAAGTCACCAACGGGTCGCCGTCCGAACGATGTGTCGTGTGCTTTGTCCCATATTTTCTTGCAGATTCGCGCGTAGGCAACGGAAATGATCATGATCGGGATGAAGAATGTCACGACGGCGGCGTAGGAGAGGTAGGCCATGCGATGCCAGTCTGGACGAAGTTTAAAGTCGGTTCCGCAGGTCTGAATATCACCATGTCTCTTCTGTCTCCAAATGAAGAGCTGCGGTACGGAGAGGAGAAGTGCGAATCCCCAAGCCGCCATTACCATCCGCCACGCCGGTAGTCCTTCCTTGAGCGGACTCCTCACAGCTTGGTGGCGATCAATGGCTATCAAGACTAACATGTTACTCGAAGCCATGATGGAAACTGTCTGCATGTACATCACAACCTTGCACATGAAGTTACCAGCCAGCCACTGGTAGTAGAGCATCTCAAACAATGCTGATCCTAAGATGGTGAAGAAGCATACACAGAGATCGGCTGTAGCTAGACCAAAGATGATCTTATTGACTCGAGACTTGCGTCGTCTGTTCATCCACAGCCACATAAACACGCACATATTCCCGAATAATCCGAGTACGAAGAGGAACCAGAGAGAGACGATACGTACATCACGGTCAAAGGTCACAGGTCGACTACCCTTTGGTGAATCGGTCGCGTTGGCGAGGTCGGATTGATCGAGGTAGTCCGACATCGTGGAGACGGTCGATGTCAACCAACCCGGAGAATGGCCCGTCTGATCGTCAACACGTTCCATGGTTAGCTCAGCCAGAGTTATGTTATCACTGAGAATGAGAGAAAAAGAAGAATTTGAGAAATGACGCTGATAGAAGGGTTTACAAATCTTCTTGGCATAGGAAAGCAATGGTGGGGACAGAAAAGAAGAAAATAAAAGAATGGAAGAGTGATAGAAAGAGATAAAGAAAGAGAGAGCGATAATTTCGTATACATAATCACTTGCTTTCCTACTGTATGTATGATGAGATATCTTATACCTTCTCTCGATGACGACAATTTATATTCAAACTCAGAAATGAACCAATCAGTTTTCACCGACAATCCCATTCAAATACCTAAAACGTCTTCATTTTATTCTTCCTACAATGTTGAATACTTAATATGACTACATGTAAGGCCAAACGTAATAATATAGGCACTATGTAACATAAACAAAAACAAAAGTAAAAAATGATAATCTGAACCTTATTTGAAGCCGGTTAAAATGAAGAGATGAAAAGAATCGAAAGTATTATTGAAAGTCCCTTTACAGCTATTTTTCATGGGTAAACACATAAAGAGGATGGTATATAGTTAGATAGGATGTACAGACAATATAAAACATGAGCTATGATAGAGAGGGATGTTCTGTACATCGGTTTTATGAAGATTAATATTTTTGGCGGTGGTTGTTAGAATCATTATCTGTCTCCATCGCATGTGTGCCTGCAGAGAACATTACGATGAAAGATTTACCAGCCTGAATTCAAAACAAAATACCACAAATTGAAATCTTGCGGACGATAATCATTATGGACGCCAAGGAAGGTTTCACTTATGACAATGGATAGAGATAAACATACGTGACTCATCATTTCCGATATACCCCCATTTGTATCAAGGAATAGGTCTATGCACAGTTAAAGGGACTGGGTGACGTTTTTCAGATGAGAGAAAATGGTGCTAAGGTAGTGACGTCAATGGTAGATGTACAATAAAAGATAATCTGAAAGTTTGAGTGAAAACATACCATTATTAAGGATACAAATTGGGAAAAACTCATCTGATTGATTTCTTAATTCTGCCAACTATATTATTACAATTTATTTATATTTAAGTGAATGTAAATCGTCCCCAAAGCAATGAATTGGCTATATATATACCACTCCAGAAATTAATGTTGACAGATTTTTAAAAGCCTGTCCCATGTCTTAATTTCATGGAAAAACGGTCGGGAAAATTCAAAAATGGTTGGGAGATTTTACTGTAAGAGGGTGTCGCACAGTGACGCTTTCAAAGAAAACCATAAATATCTTTGGGGTTTGAGAACTTTTCAGGATTTTGTTTGCCCGTTCGAGGGTTAGTGCAGTAGAAGGAATATAATAAGTAACATTTCATACAAAAATTACACAGTTTTTTCATCAACCTTCAACAATGTTACCGAGTTACTTTAAAGACGCTCATTTTTTATCACTGTGTTATTAAATTTTTCTTTTAATTTGCCTATTATTTCACAATAGGACAATGATTTTAAGTAGTATATTCCCCATTCGTTGTTTCCGTTGGCAGCGCCTCGGAATCAAGTTGTCTAGATATACGGCGCCCTATAAATGCATATTATTAGTATTTTTTTAATTATTAATGTTGAACCAATACAGACATTTCGATTACTTTAACTTTTTGCACAGTCTTTATCCTGTAATTTGTTTGAAATTAGCGATGCAGCATTATTCATTAATGTGCAAACATGCAAAAGGATCTTCCTTCCTTGGGGGTGTATTTCTATTTTCTCATCTTATTTAATGCGCTATTATGTGACGCCATTTCGGCGCCAAAATGGAACTGGTTAAATCAGTTTTTATCGTACTTGGCATTCCCGGTTTTAGGAAAATGCTTATTCTACATTGCAATACTTAACTTTAAATCCGATTTTTCAATCAGAATGAAGGTATTATTTAGTCCTAAAATCGTTTTATATAATACTAGGTAAATGTACATGAATGCAGAACCTCATTGCGTGCGTAATATCGTGCTTTCAAAAAACACAATTTGTATAATATAATATTTTAAAAAATATAAATAAAACTGAGCTTACGGATGATGTACGAATTAACTGACATCAAAGTGTAAAATTAAGTGCTAGTTGTTTTGTAATGATTTATGACCAGCTATAAACTAACTTTACAAAGTCAAACTATAGATAAAGTATTACCAAGACCGATAAAATGTCAAGGAGACTTAATATACAAAAAACGAACAAGTAGAATTTTTAAGTCAAGACGGTTTTCCGAGTTGGTCTTGGAAACTTGTTTTTATATTCTTAGTATTTCGAATGGAAAGGCAAAGGCGACTGCTTTATGAATTCCCGATAACACAACATTGAGGTTGGAGTAGAAGAAATGTGAATGGATTTTTTTCTCCAGACCAACCATTGATATGGGTGTCTTAATTTGCGGGTTCTGCTTGATCCCTTTTCCTTTCCTAAACTTTGTTAACATTGCTTCCATCTTCCCCTGATGACTGTAGATGGAAAAGGTCTATTTTTATGATCTTAACATTCTCCATTTAGTATATAATTATCAAAGATACTTGGCATTCTTTTCCTAAACTTTGTTATCATTGCTTTTATTTTCTCCTGATGATTGTAAATGAAAAAGGTCTATTTTTATGATCTTAACATTCTACATTCAGTAAAAAAAATATATCAAAGATACATGGTTTACGCATCAACAAGATACATTTAGTCTGAATTGTAAGCATCATTTTGTTGAAGATCAAATTATAAAAATATAAGATCTCCCAAAATCCATTTTCGAAACTAGGAAATCTGTGATACTTTGTGATCTAACGAGATGAAGAGAGACATCGTGTTATGGGGCCAAATAATTAGCAACAACATCAAATTATAATGATCCGTCATGGATCCTACAAAATATCCAAAAAGAAGAATTACATTTTCCTCTTTCTTATCATTTCATCCAAAATTTTCGATGAAAATACTATACTCACTATACTCACTTCCGAAAGATACTCTTCCTTCCAACCTCCACTTTCTCGCCTTTCCATCTCACTTCTATTTTCTATCCACTTTCCTCAGTCCCTCGAGGACTTTACACATGGTGTACCGTAAACCTCTTCCGTGATTATTCATACCACCATGCAAACCTTCAAACATCATCTTATCATTTCATGTTTCTGTATAAACATTCAGCACATTCAAATGAAAATGTTCTTTTCATTATGACGTTAAAAGCTTTCAGAAATATACATAATTCTGTAAAAATAATTATGTCACATTTGATTTTGAACTACATGGCTGATGCGTTTGCCTGTGTGCATTATACAATTGCAGAGAAAATCGAATGTGATGCTTTTTTCGTACTTCAGTTTACGATTTTGCGGTGAACAGAAACTGTGATTTGCCATTTTCTTCTCCCTCCCTCTCTCTTTGTTTTGATGGGGGGGGGGGGGGGGGGGACTTTGAGATTGCGTATTTCTGTGCTCCTTCACTTCTCCATACCTTCAGATTAAACGAAGCCATATTCCATCAATGATAAATAACACCGGGGTGCCACCCCCTCCCTCATCACATGACCAAAAGAAAGTGAGAGACAAAATGAAGTGATGGGGAGGGAGGGAGGGAGGGTGGGAGGGTGGGTGGGTGGGGAGAGGGATAAGGGAGGGAGAGAGAGAGAGAGAGGGAGAGAGAGAGAGAGAGAGAGAGATGCTAAAAGAACATCGGGCACAAACACTTCCCATCTATCACCTAATTCAGTAACCCTGTTCGACGTTTGAGACCCCCCCCCCCCCCCACACCACCCGACCATGAACTTTAACTACACCACTTATCCTAATCCTTAGCTTTATTCTCTGACCTAATAAGCACTTTCAAATTAAGATCAAAAGATCAAGCTTGTATTTGGGGTATTTGGTAAGTTTGCGTTCTATATGCCGCACGCACGTGGGTTCCTTTATGTAAAATAATGTCAATAAGGCATGCACTTTTTTATCATCAAAATCCGAGAAAAAATAATTGGATTTTGGCTGGATCTAGTAGCTCGCGCAGTTTGTTTCCATAGTTATGCAAGGGATGACCAACTATTAATTACGTTATTTGATTAGATATTCAGTTACTAACAAACAGAGTTGATTGGACTTCGTTGGGCTAGCGGACTTGTTGATTGAAAACTTGTCGATTTACAATTCGACACAGACCCTTACCTAACAGTAACAACCAGTCAGACTCATAGGCTATGGCATAATTAGTCATGAATGGGGGAAAGAGAATGTTTTAAATAGTACTTCAGCTTTTCAACAAGAGAATGAAATACAGCAGGACGTTTAAAGAATAAGGCAAATTAGCTCAATACGCGAGCAACTCAACGCAATGCTTGCAAGTTGTTTACCCATTTAACATTTTTGTTCGATGTCAATCTTCACTTTGCGAGTCACAGACCTCGTCAGACGTTGACGTAGTCCTACTTCAGGCATAATAGGGACTTTTCGATTTGCACGTCGACATAGTGGACTGCTACGTGTGACGTCATTTCAATGCTCTGAGCCAGTGCCTTAAAATGACGTCACACGTACATGTAGCAGTCCACTATGTCGACGTGCAAATCTTAAAGTCCCTATCGACGCCTCATTAACAACGGGCTGAGAAGTGTAGGTCTATGTCTCCTCCCAAAGGATGATGCCTTTCTTTCACTTACATACTCAAACTACGTTACATTGTGGTCCATCGTCATTTAAAGGTATAGATCAGTTTCGGAAACACCCCCCCCCCCTCTCAAAAAATGAAATGGAAGCTCTTATTACAATTCATGTGAAATAATATGTTTTGACCAATACGTGGCGATACAAAGTTTGCCGGGAAACCGCCTACTAATTGATATATTTGGTAAATATCGATCCGGCCTGGATAGATATCGCGAATGCACTTCAACATTGAACATTTCGGCATATATTATTTCTGCTTTTTTGCAAATTTAGGTTGAAGTATTGCCATCTGAACCTCTGAAGACTGAAGGCAATATTTTTTAACAATATCAAATGGATATTTGCACCCAAAACCATTGGACCGCAATTTTACATGTGATGAAGCTGTAATTATAGACTGGAGGGGAGTTTCAATATCACAAGCCGTTCAACATTCGCCATGTCGGGAAGGTGATGGGTGTCGATGACTCTGTGGTAATGACCTTGAATTCAATAAGGTGTGAAAACTGTTTGAAGTCATGACGTGATTGAATGGTGTTATAAACACATTAAGGAGGAGAGTAAGATAACACATGCTTCCCTGGGTAAACTTATAATTGATTATTAATAATTATAAGTTTACCCAGGGATGATACCATCTTGATGCCTGACTTAAGTGCAGTGACATTACCATCAGTAGAGAAGGAGGGAATGTTATGTGGATACCTCCACCGCAGATGAGAATGTCCTTTCTCTCCTTCTTTCTCTCTCTCTCTCTCTCTCTCTCTCTCTTTCTTTCTCTCTCTCCCTCCCTCTTTATCTAACTCTCTTTCTCTTTATCTAACTCTAGTCTCTTTCTCGTCTCTCTCTTTCTAATGTCTCTTTTGTTCAATAATTCCACTTTCTTTCTTTCCCTTTTCCATCTCTTCCCCTCTCACTCTCTTTCTCGATGTATCTTTATCTCTCTCTCTCTCTCTCTGTCCTCCCATTTCTATCCCTATTCATTTCTCTTTCTGTTTGTGCTCACCCCTGTCTCTCTGTCTCTTTCTCTCTCTTTCTCTCTCTCTTCCTCGCTTTCTCTCTCTCTCTCTCTCTCTCTCTTTTGGAGCTCTCCCTTTCTCTAGATTTAGGGATGACGACCTTCACCTTTCGGATGTTTTTTTAAAACTAATTAAGTAAAGGAATACAAAAATGTGTCCCCTCCCCCTCCCGGCTGCTATCGACCCAAGCATTCATGCTTTTGATATTTGACTTATGCACTTATTTTCATTGTTTGATTTACCTCCATACTTTCAAGTCTTCAATAATATATCCATGTATTTTTTTGTAATTCAGTATTCATATTTTATGTAAATCAATGATATCATTTACTATCATTATTGTTTAATATTTTGTATTTGATTTTTCAATAAATGAAGAAACATCCGCTGAAAAATAATCGAAAGTAGATTTACAAGTTTAAGAAGACTGTGTCCGAGATTCGCAGGAAAGAGGACAATTTATGCACATTCTTGATGATAAAAGGAAATATGGAATCAAATTGGTAAAAAGAAATGTCCCAGATCTTTAGATATTTACCTGATGGAATATTCATCAGTCATTGTTGAACATTACTTTTGGCGCTTTCAAGGTTACTCCAGAATAAAAGAAATCTACAGCTTGATTGAGAGTAATTGAGAATCTAGAATCCAAATTGAATCAATCTCACGAATTAATTTTGCGTGCCCTAAAAATCACTCTCACTGTTTTCATTATTTCAAAATGCCGTGACACGAAATATTCACATGAAAATCCATTATCAAAATTCGCATTCATGTTACAGAATTGTTAATGGAAATGTCAGGTGCAGAATTTCGAGTGTGGGTGTCGCTACATAACAACTAGAAAACCACTCATCAAGTATAATAGACAACACCATCATGTCATGAAACATTCTTGATAGAACACAAGACTCTCTTTCTCTACATGCAGACGCACCATTCCAGAAATCGGGGTTAATTTCTTATTTCGTGACTAGAAATGCGATCGTATTCTTAACCCACCGGCAAGGGCAAAATAAAACACAAAACTAAATGAAAATGCGATTAATAAAGACCTGGTAAATAAAAGCGAAATGGAAAAGATATTGATATTATAAGACGTTTTAGATTTCATAAATCAATCAACTTCGATGACATCAAGACCTAACATTGTCGAGATCAAGAATAATGCAACTTTGAATGATTATATTAATGTATCGGTAACACGATCGCAACTGTATTCGGAAAAACTACTCAAGGGCAATTTTTTTACCCTATTTTATGTCCCATAGAAATTAGGTTCGCACATTTCAATACATGACGCACAGGCCTACTGAAATTGCACCAGGTTGATTTTCCGAAAGTGGTTGCTATGGCGGGTGATGTTCTTAATCTTTTAAAACTTTAAAAGGACATCGTCAAATACACATGACCTTTCAAAGTCCCTTAAAAGTGCATTATCTGTGCGCGAATGATTTCTAGGAAAATGTGCCATTTTGCATGATGCCATTGAAGGTGTGCATTCTAATACCCCTTTGCAAACCAACAAGACCGACTCCAAACCGACAAGTTACCGAACAAACAATAACATTAATACCCGAAATGGCATAGAATTTGGTCGATTATCCGTCGATTCGGAATTGCGTTGGTATGCGGAGTGACTGCGAGTGACAATGAAAACTGATCAAAATGATAATTATTAACCAATCCTATACTCACGTTATTTTGTATTGAGATGATGTCGATTAGGAAGAGCAGCTACCTTGCATGCCCGAATTGAGGTCCTTCTCCTATAGAGTTCAAGATAGAGATGTGAGAAGGTCGGAGAAGGATGCTTTATATCTATCCTCCAGAGAAACCTTACAAGCTATCCTCAGCACGATACAAACCTGGAAATCAATTAAATGTGGGTTGAAGGCGATTAGTCTATTTTCCTTTGACATTTTTATAAAGCCTTGGTTTTAAGCATTTCCTTTCGTGAAAATCATGTCCGACTGATACAATTACAGGAATGTCAGTCTCCAGACAGAGAACGGGAGGAGGGAGGAGGAAAGAGAAGGACAAAAAGGTAAAGCAGATGCCGAGGAACATGGAAGCCCCCTCCCAAAATCCAAAACCGGGTACATTTATGTGTAATGAGAGAAGAAATGATTGACAAAGACATCTTCTTGGCGATCAAGTAGATGGGGTGACAATCTTGTCATCAAAACATGTTTACAGGTTTATTTCCAACTATATATAAAAGCAATTAATCATTAGGTTTTATTTTCCAATACATCTAAATTACCTCAACGGCTGAATATAGCTTATTACATTTTTAAAATTTGAATTGGTGTTTGAATCTTGTTCATATCATGTCAAATTTGATGAATTAGAAACACCCTCTAGCATTCTGCACCATGTATGTGGCGACAAACAAAACTTCGTGACATTTTATTGGATAACATTTGACGATCTTGAGTTCGTCGTTTTTCTTGTCGTAGTTTAATAGTAACATGTTAGACGTTGCTTCGTAATGTCAAATTTGACACGGCACCAATGAACATGAAATTACATAGAATGCCTGAGGGCTGAGGCAATGAAACTCCCATAGTATCGTAAACATAATCTCAATTTCTCCATTTATCAACCCAGTTCTCTTACTCCCACGGCCAAATGGGAGGTTATATTTTCAACGTAACGCACATTTCAATTCAGTTGAGAAATTTGGAACTGATGCTGGATTATTCACGACTTCAATTCAATTCAAAGTAATATTAATTTTCTTCCATTTCTTTTTCCTTATCAACAAAAACATTCAAGAAATTAATGTGTACATCACAATAATGACATGATAAATGCAATAAAGCATGGCGCGTTTAACACTAGAAAGGCGGCGTTCTTCCTGCAAACACATAGGCTTGTGTCGAATACGACTTTGAAAATAAATAACAAATATTCAAATATCCACTGAGACACATATCCAAACTTTTATAAGGTTTCCAAAAGAGAGCAAGGAAATGAAAATTTAATTTAATACTCGGCACTCATCAGTATTCTTCCATTTTCTTACTTCGACGGTACTTGCTTTATTTTCTTATAAAACATTACATAATTGCATTTATCTGCTGATATATCGTATACGAAACCGCCTAATGTGATAAACAACAGAGCCGTTATTACTTTCATTAGAAAACCTTGAATGCAATTGATTATTTTCCTTCAGCGCAATGGCATCTCTCTAAGTTAAAATAAAAAGAATACGGTGAGAAAGCTGGCAATGTTATATGTAACAATGAAGCTGAAGTGAAGGTTGGGTTTAATGGATTCGTTTAATATATCTACAGGCAGTTTCATTCGCAGATACAAGGGACATAAATGAATAACGAATACTCTCGACTTTATTAATTTCTTCATCAATTTCATAAAGTTGGTTCTTGTTGTAACTCCCGTGATCTTGATCACTTTAAAGACACTTTAGAAAACCTATAAAGCCATAACTTCACGAGCCTTGTCAAATATGGATTCCTTAAATAATTTTAATCAGTCATATCGGAAAAAGGAAATTGAGTTTTCAGCACGGATACCAAACCGTGTAAAGAACACCACATGTATTTCAATTGGTAATGAAGGTAACTCGAACAGATCTTCCGATGTTTTATGACAGTCACACTTAACCAAATTATTCGAGATTTTCAGCTTTGTCTCCTACATCTCAGAATGGCTTCCTTTTTTAATAACCCAAAGCAGTCATGTTTTCTTATTTTCCACTCATTCATAAGTGGAAAAAATAAGATGTTTATAAAATGAACCAATGTGAAAGAAAATGGCAAAATTCAAGCGAAAAGTTGCTAATTATACACGAAAACAGTGATATATTCATAGTTTTCACGGCGTTGCCAGTTTAGCCTTCCCTCCATCTTCCGGCGAAATATCTTGACCGCTGAAACCAAAATGGTCCTCCTTCATTATTACATGAACAAAGACATTCAGCTTTGAACAGGTCTTTTCTTTATCTATACTCTGTATGTATCGACCAAGCCTGCATTATCATGCACTCTTTTACTTTACCTCTAGAACACAACAAGTCGTCAAGGTTGCCTTGGTTATGTCTACTTAATGTTTCTCCTGCACGTCTGTAGACCCGCCAGGGAAGTGGTCCTTGATACAAACTATTTGTTATGAGTCAATACAAACCCCCATGTTCCTCTCAAACTGAACCTAGCAGACATTATTGATGTTCTTTTAAGGCAACCTTTCACTTGCACTCTACGAATGTTCTTTTCGAATGTTCTTTCTTCAATTCCATGTTGCATATCAGTAGGCTATTATTCGTGTCGAAGTATATCGCCTAGTGTTCTTAAGAGTAGATCAGTCTATTGTTTACTGTAAAGTTCTAAGTGTGTTTGCCAAATAAACGAAGAAACGCCATGGGAATAATAGATTTTTAAGAAATACTCGAATTTCATCTATTTCTTTTGAGAAATAATAGTCTTCGCCCCTGCAACTTGTTTTTTTCACTTAAGTTGCATACGCCCTCACATACGTAACATGATTGCATCACATTCATGTATTCCCATGGGTGTTATATGAGTCGAAATGGCGCCTCGGAAGAACACAAACAACCACCATCAATCTATATCGCGTCTTGATTCGGCAAAGAACGACTGGAGTTCAAGGTTACATTTTGTGCTAATCACGTAACATGATGACATCATAATCATGTGTTCCTTTTGGCGTCATAATTATGAGCCGCTAGGGGGCCTCCAAATAACAGAAACAATCATCATCAATCTATATCATGTCTTGATTCAGCAGCGCCTGTATGGCGTGTATTCGGTGTCATAACCTGCAAAAAGAACAACTGTTGTTCTTACGAGTGTCAAGAACGAATACAACATGCGCGCTGGGACAACGACCGCTCTGAACGTTTACAGACGACTATGTTCTCAGTGATGTTTTTTTTTATAATGGAAGACGTACTTGCTTGTATAAGGGATGATAAAAATAGGGGATTAAATGACGACATCCCTCATGAAGTCTTTTAGCGAGCCTCGACGTTAAAGCACCGCAAGGCACTTGCCATACGTGAGCCGGTTTCATCTCATACATTCAAAACGTTGCATCAGAGAGGGGAGGGATAGAAGAGGGGCGGCTCATTATACAGGTCATTGGACTTTTGATCCGATTTCTGAATGCTCTGATCAGTATGTTGTATTATTATAATGGTAAGTTCATTCCCCCCGCTTCATCATTCATGCAATCCAGATTACTTTCCAATATCTATTGACGACCCTACTTTTATAATAAAAAAATGATTCATTGTATCAGAGATAACAATGTACAGTCTCTTTGGAGTCAGATATGGTTGGAAAATTTGATTGTATTGAATAAACCTAGATTATAATGAATTGCAATAGTCAATCACAAAAATTGTTTCCACTACATGATATTCATCTCTGTCATGAATGATAAAAACAATCATTCGAAAATAGAGATATATAATTCAGTAGTTTACTTATGATAACAAGACGAAGAGAGAAAGGAGAGATGAATGCTGATATGCCCCTGGAAGTAAACATCCTTTATCATCATAATCATGAATGAGGAGAAATCATTATCTATTACGTCAACTGAGTGGGCTGGAGAATAAAGAAAGTATAATTTATTTAAAGTGAACAAGCATATTTTCATTACCATGATTACCTCATGCCAAGAATTATCGTGTCAAGGGGCACATTCAAAGCTTGCAGATCTGCCATCCAGCCACCCATCCAGCCCCCCCCCCTCGGCTTCGTAGATTTAATTATATTAAGGAAGATCTTCAATATCCAAGAGAGCTTTCGCGGCTGATCTCATTTGCACTGAAAATGCATAATGTATTAACTCGCATCGCACTATCGTATTTGTTAATTTGTTATTGTATATTTATGATGGATATCCCTTATTTGTATCGAATATTGTGGAAAACGATCCACAATATGCTACCCTAAACTCAAATTCATTAAAAAAGAATCTTATTTCATGATGGTTTCACATCAATATTCATACAGCGTCCTCTCGTTCAGCCCTTATTACACTCTTCATAATTCAAGCGATCTATTTTTGATGATCGCGCACTCGTGCTGTGGCGGGGGAAAAATACAAGGAAAAGAAGAAAGAAAAATCACTGCCTGGAATATTGTTTTTTTGTGTGCATCATGTCATATACGTGACTGGAATCAAGCATCTCAAAATGATTGCTACCCATCAAGTGGTTCTCCCCAACGTCATTAGATCGGGGAGAAAATGATGAATTTATATATCTAAATGATATTTTAGATGACCAGATTTGAAGCAAAAGACACAACTAAACTAGTTGCAAGGTTGGTAATAGCCGGCGGCGGACTAAAGAAAGGTCATGTACTTTTATTTGCTCTCATTTATGATTTCCAGATTTGCTAGCATGGCTAAACTGCGCATGTGGGAGGGGGGATTTCCTCAAATAGCCGAGTGGTACTTTTATGAGGCGATGGACGGCCAGTATCAATTGTATTCACGAAAAAGTACAAAAGTGGCACGGAATTGATATCTAACAGTCACACTCATACATCTTCTCCACTGGTGTATCCAGCGGTGGTTGGAGTCAGCGAGCGCCACGACCTTCCCCTTCCTTCGATTGCAGGATAAACAAAAGTAAATAAAAGTTGCAATAGATCTATATTAGGCCCAGGGGCTATCCATGCATGTAGAAAGCATTCGTTCTTACACAGGACCCCTAGTCCACGAAGTAGATCATCTAGCAAATAGTGTATATCTTTAAAAAAAAATATATATTAATATAACAAGATATTAAAAGTCAGGAAAACGAGAAATATTTTGAAACCACTGGAATTCCCAGGACAGCGAAATTGAGTAGATAACTGTTGCG